AAAACAGGTGAAATTAATTTTAATAAAATAAGTTTTATTTAACCCAAGATTGCTAAAACATCATTTGAACACGTGACCAATATAAAAATTGAGGTATCTTATGTTCTAATATTCTACTAAGTCTTCAAAATCCAGTGTGCGTTTTATACTAATAAGCACATCTCAATGTGAACACTAAATTTTTATCAGAAAAGAATTGATCTGTATTTAAACTTCATAAAATTGACATTTGAAAAAGCAGATTCACATATCCAGGTTGTTCTAAACACACAAGTTCTCTGGTAACTGAATCAAGTAGTTTTTAAATTTATATTTATATTAAATATATTTAAATGTTTTAAGTTATATTTAAATTAGTTAAAATAGGATAAAACGAAAAATTCAGTTTCTCGGTCACACTAGCTACATTTCAAGTGCTCACGAGCTACATGTGACTAGTGGCTATTAAGTCTATACTGATCTTCTAGCTTCTTGTTTATAACTGTCTACTGTTTAACTCTATTTAGTTTTTCATCACTTCAAACAAATCTGAGACCTTTAAACTTTATCTGTTTCCTTGGTTATGGACATATTCCACTGGTTAATCTGATTTTGTGCCCAGTGCCACACTGATCACTGTAGCTTGACCAAGTGTTTACTCAGGGGAGGGGGGCAGTAGATGGTCTTCCCACCCTCTCCATTTTTTCTTGGTAATTCTTTCTTGATCTGTTATGCTGTAATTTTGAATAATTTTACTTACTAAAGTAACGGAAACATGTAAATTTCATTTTTGTTAGGGAAGTATAGAAATGTAATCGATCCCCCCCTTCCCCCCCACCCCCGAAACACAGAATGCTTTTATCAGATTTTCTCTCTCTGCAAGACTGGAGGGATGCAACAGTTACTTCTTGGTGGAGATGTCATCATCATCCAGAAACTAAAGGCTACAGTTCACAGCAGGCAGAAATGGGCCCATCAGGATGTGGCTGAATCTCCACGTGAGGCCATCTGCTCCCCAGCATCACTCAGGAAGGGATTTCTTTCATGGTCGAAAGGAGGGCACCTAATGGCTCACTATGGGAAATACAATTAATTATATGGTTTTCATGCCATCATCTGCCTTTACCAATAAGAGCTGCAAAAGATGTATGTCTCTGAATGACACAGAACTAATTTTTTAATATTGCCCTTGTATCTAGCAACTTTGCTGAATTCACCTATCAATTTTAATGTTTTTTTCTCTGCATTCTTTTGAATTCCTATAAATACAATCATATTTTAAGGTGATGATTTTTTTCTTTTCTAATTCTTTTTTTTTTTTAAGATTTTATTTATTTATTTGACAGGCAGAGATCACAAGTAGGCAGAGAGGCAGGCAGAGAGAGGAGGAAGCAGGCTCCCCGCTGAGCAGGGAGCCCGACGTGGGGCTCGATCGTCCTGGGATCATGACCTGAGCCTAAGGCAGTGGCTTTAACCCACTGAGCCACCCAGGCGCCCCTCTTCTCTAATTCTTATGTAATTTTTCTTATCTTACTATATTGGCTAGAACCTTTGTCACAATGTTGAATGAAGTGACTGACAGAATTTTTTTTTTCTTTTTTTTTAAGTAGGCTCCATGCCCCCTGGGGCTTCCAGTCATGACCTTGAGATCAAGAGTCACAGGCTCAACTGACTGAGCCAGCCAGGAGCCCCTGATAGAATCTTTGCTTTGCTTGTTCCCAAACTCAATTTCACCATTAAGAAAGTGGTTTGCTGTTGGCTTTATATATTGCTCCTTTATCAGACTTTTCTTTTATCAGAAGTTTCTTTCTATTCTGAGTTTCCTAGGAGTTTTTAATGAATGAGAGATCAAATTTTATCAAATGCTTTTCTTCACTGCTTAAGATGATCATATTATTCTCTTCTCTTATTATGCAATTCATGTTAATTACACAGATCAATTTTCTGATGCTAAATCAACTTTGCAATTCCTGGAATGAACCCAACTGAGTCATGATATTGTTGGCTTTTTGTATTACTGGTGGATTTTTGCTTCTTCATTCATGAGGGAGACTAACTTGTAAATTCCTTCCTCATAATATTCTTGTCAGGTTGTACTAAACTCATTAAAATATATTAGGATGTATTTTTTTCTGTTCTCTAGAAGCTGTGGTTACTAAGGATATTATTTCTTTCTTAAAAGGTTTTAAGTTACCAATGAAGCTATCTGGGCCTAGAGTAATCTTTGTGGGAAAATTTTAAGTTATGTATTGTTTTTAAACAGATATAGCCCTATTCAATGTTCAATGTTCATGTTCCTATTCTGCATCAGTAAGTAGTATATAATCTTTGTTTTTCTAATTGTCCATTCTATCTGTCCCATTTTCAAATTTATTTGCAGAAAATTGCTCATAAAATGCTCTTACGGAGGAAAAAGTTGTCTGCAGGATTTGGAGTAATGCCTCCTTTTACATTTCTGGTATTATTTATACCTTCTTTCTTTTTTCCTTGGTCAGTCTTGCCAGGGTTTATCAATATTACTCTTATTCTTTTCAAAGATCCAACTTTGTGGTTCTTTTAATCCTCTCTACTGTACTTCTTCCCCTATAAGATTAATTTCACTCTATGTATATGGCCTCCCTCTATTTTCTTTAGACTTATTTGGTAGTTCTTTTTTCTGACTTATTGAGAAATGAGGTTTTTTTTTTTCTTTTCCAATTTTGCTTTTATAAAGCAGTGATTCTTGACCTTAGCTGCATATCACAGTCACCTGCAGAGCTTTCAAATGCTTGAGTCCCATCTGCAGAGATTCTGATGTGACTGGTCCGGGATGTGGCGTGGGCATCAAAAGCTTTCTACTGTGCTGCTATGGTTAAGAACCACAGATTTAAAGCCATACCTTCTAAGTACAACTTCAACTGTATCCAATAAGTTTTTAATTCTTCTTGCTCATTCAAACTGGTTTAAAAGTTCTGCAGTGATATTATGTAAATTTTTTAAATGGGCAAATCCAATATATGGTTTCAGAAGTCAGGTAAATAGTTACTTTGGGGACAGAAGGGTGTTGTGACTGATGAAACACAGGGAAGCTTCCAAAGTACATGTTCGATGTGTGATTAACTCATTGAGCCAGACACATTTTATAAGTGTCTCTGTAATTTTATAGTAAACTTTCATATAATTTTTTTTTAAAGATTTTATTTATTTATTTGTCAGAGAGAGAGGAGCGAGAGTGAGCACAGGCAGTCAGAGTAGTAGGTAGAGGCAGAGGGAGAGGGAGAAGAAGGCTCCCTGCCAAGCAAGGAGCCCGATGCGGGACTCGATCCCAGGATGCTGGCATCATGACCTGAGCTGAAGGCAGCTGCTTAACCAACTGAGCCACCCAGGCGTCCCTAATTTTTTTTTTTTTTTTTATTTGACAGACAGAGACCACAAGTAGGCAGGGAGGCAGGCAGAGAGAGAGAGTAGGAAGCAGGCCTCCTGCTGAGCAGAGAGCCCCATGTGGGGCTCGATTCCAGGACCCTGGGATCATGACCCGAGCCGAAGGCAAAGGCTTTAACCCACTGAGCCACCCAGGCACCCCCTTAATATAATTTTTTAAAGAGAGAAACAGACCTCATACAAGGAGTAGGAATTATAAAGGCAATAACTGCCTTCTCACTATTAATACTAGAAGCTAGAAGGAACAGCATAATGCCGTCTCAATTCTAATGGGAAATGATTTCCAGCCTAGAATTCGGTATGCAACTTTTTGATCAAATGGGAGGGTAAAAATCAAAACATTTTCAGACAGTGTTTGCAGAAAAGTTACCTCCCCTGCCCCTTTTCTCAAAAAAGTCCTGGAGAACGTGCCCCACTTAAAAAGAGGAAATAAACAGGGAGATGAAGACACCAGATCTTATATTGAATATCTTATATTTCAATATTAGAGGAAGGCAAGAGAAATTCCCAAGATAACCATCCTGCCACAGGCCTCAAAAACTAGTGCACCTGGGAGCCGCGGGCTGGAGGGTTCTAGACACAGACATCTCCAAGAGAAACTAAAACGGAGAGTGCCTGCTTGTGTTTGACCACAGACAGATTTTTTTCAATTCTGTCAGAGTACAGGGAAAAATCCGGGGTAGCCTCTTAGAAAACCAAACAATTAAAAAACCAAAATTAGAGTGTGAGTGATTGCTCCAACCAAACAATGGGGAAGTACAATCACAGTTCAACTTGCTGTGAATGGGGGTTTTACAGTTACAACAACATAAACAGGGAGCACTGAGTTAGGCAAGCACTGTGATGTAACTACATGACATGAGGGGGAAGGAAGGGGATTTCTGTTTGCACTGGTGGTGTGTGGGGAGTTGCGTGTGAGGTTACATGAGATAAATATCCTCATCTACAAGTGGGACATCCGAAGAGAAACTGAACTGAAAAATCAAGAAACAGTGCAAGCACAGAGACGTGAAAAATAGCTACAATAATTTAAACTTTGGGGGAAGTGAAGGATGGAAAGGTGCGGGGAGGGATGCTTCTACTTTCTCTTATGAGCACTGGAACACGTGTCTTTTTCAATTATGTGTCTGTAATATTTTCATAAAAATAAAATTAAGCTTGAAAAAAGTGTAAAAATAAAAGAATCCCAAGAGCCTAACAAGTCACTTTAAGCTTTCAAACTCTGGATAATCACCGGGACCATCCCTGATTAAGAGGAAGTATGTCTGTAGCACATATCAGTAATCATTATTAATTAAGTATTGTTTCAACCCCGAATTCTCCCCATATGAAGAACCAAATTAGCTACATTTTAGTAGAGAGTACATGAAAAACGGCCCCCCAAGATCAGAACGTACAAAGCAAATGTTTTCATTTATCAGGTTAAGATGGATTTACACGATTGCGACTGACTCATAACTTTTCAGAAAGGTCTAGGAAGTTAGTTTGATCTCTTGTGCCAATACAGGATTACTCGATTATCTTCTAGGATAATTTTGATAATTAATGGTATTAAGTACCTGAATCAAAAGAGAAGATAAGGTTTGTAGAAGGGAAATTACCTGAAGAAAGTCACGAAGAACTGTACCAGGTCCATAAAATTGCTGTGCTGGGAGAAGGCGATCTGTGAGGGAGAAACAGGTAGTGTGAGGAGGGAGGCTACACAGGAACGCTGGCAAACTTGGCCTTTTAGTTCAAGAGACACACATGAAATGTTCAAGGAGAAATTAATGAAATTGTTTTTCTTAAGGGAAAGTGGCTCATCCCTTTAGTTTCTTTTCTGGCTTAACCACAACCCAAATGTAATATTCTGAGGCTTCCATGCAAATTCCTAGAGTGCCTACCCCTCTGTTCTTGATATCAGATCTAAGTTCTTTTAGTGTGACCCTGACGATGTCTCAGATTCCCACCGTGAAAATCCTAATGCCAGGCAAGTCAGTTGGCTTGCTACTACTTCCTTGGGCCTTGCCCTGGACAAAATGCTCTCCCTGTCTGCTTCAAGTTGGAGTTCCGGGACCTACCTGGAGGTGGGGAGCCTCATCTGTGCCCTTCATCCCTTTGATACTTACATGCTTAGTGAATACACTCACTTCAGGATACTGTTTTTTTTTTTTTTAAAACCACATCTCAAAATTCAATACATTGAATATCATCTAACAGTCAATATAATACCAGATGGAACCTAAGTAATTTTATCATATGGTTAATAGTTTTTATACCAAGAATATAAAATGTCCCTTATATAGCTCATCTAAGATACTACTGAGTGAAACAGGCATTATTTTGTACATTACCAAGAAAAAATGCTGCCCATTACACTATGGCAAAATACTTTAAAAACCACTGACTGTAAGATGCATCATGATTTCAGAGATATCAGAACATGAAAAAAAAATGAACATGTCAGGATTTATTACTAAGTATGATATCTGTGTCCTTTTTATTATAATCTATAATACTCATAGTACTAGCCAGATGTTATGGCATATTCCCTGCTTTTTTAAAGGGAACATAGCCCTCCTTGGAGAGACAACAGTACCATAAGTAAAGCAATTATTGAATAAGGTGATAACTGCTCCAGTACAGACAGTAAGTATGACAAAAATCAGAGAAGTAAACGATTAGCAGCTTCTTTTTCCAATCTCACCCAACTCCCTATCTTTATCAGACAGCAGCTCCCATCCTACCGTAATGCAAGAAAGTGCTAGACCCAGGCCCCAGCCCTGGGACAATTCAATGCCTCGTGTTCTTTTTATGGCCAGACTCAAAGAGGCAGCAAGAGGTTTCCAGTGTTTGCCTTTTTTGATGGCCTTATTTTCTTTTTGACATTCCATAAATAAAGTCCCAATGCTACCTATTCAGGCCATAGGACATTACGGGGTACAGAATTTGTAGTCTGTGTATTCTCTAGCAACCATTTATAATCAGAAATACAAAGATACATAGACTTTATGCCATACATAAGGAGAAACCCACGTTCTTTCCTTTTCCTTAATTTTCTACAGTAACTAGTCACAAGTAAGAAGACCCCTTGAGAAGATGGCCACCATCCTTGCATACAGCTTTTTAGTACTGGAGAAGGACAATTATTTAAACAAGGTTATTCAGTCTTGAGGCATGAAGATTCCAGGTTACAACACATAAAGAGCGAGAAGGAAACAGGTTCTAGTCCATCCACACCTGTTTACAGATTTTAGTCTTTTTAAATTGTCAGTGTGTCCTCCGTGTTTAGACTTCAACAGATCCTGAGATGCTTTTCCTCAGTGTCGGGTGCCAGGATGTATGGATGCTAACAGTGCCCTCTGAGGACTCCCAGGGGTCTGTGCACCCTGTGCCACGTAACACTCTGCAGGGCTGGGATCACCACCACGAGCCTGACTTCTCGCTGACACAGGGCCACACCATGTTCATGTCTAATGCAAAACCACAATGAACCAATATAAACTGGCTGCCAGGGTGGCTGTGCCCCAAGATTCACATTACTCCAAAAGGGGATCTCTTTTGTTAAATGTTACTCATCCAAGTCTCCACAGTTACAAGGTTTTGTAGGGAAGCAAAAGGCCTAACAGAAAAATGTTTATGAAAAGACTGACCACTTAGAAACATCTAGTCTTGTTCAACACCCCACCCACCACGTCAGTTGGTTAATCCCTGACTGACAGGCTGGTGAGCTTACTGTCCAAACTGAGAACTTCTTTCTTTTTTTTTTTTAAGATTTGATTTATTCATTTGACAGAGAGAGAGAGAGAGAGAGAGCGAGCGCGCGAGCACAAGCAAGGGGAGCGGCAGGCAGAGGGAAAGGGAGAAGCAGGCTCCCTACTGAGCAGGGAGTCTGATGTGGGAATTGGGGGCTATCCTAGGACCCTGGGATCATGACCCGAGTCTGAGTCGACACTTGACTGACTGAGCCTCTCAGGCATACCCAAACTGAGAGTTTCTGAGAGAGAAGAGGAACGCTATTAAAAAGTACACTGTGGGGGGCGCCTGGGTGGCTCAGTGGGCTAAGCCTCTGCCTTCGGCTCAGGTCATGATCTCAGGGTTCTGGGATCGAGCCCCGCATCAAGCTCTCTGCTCAGCAGGGAGCCTGCTTCCTCCTCTCTCTCCGCCTGCCTCTCTGCCTACTTGTGATCTCTGTCTGTCAAATAAATAAAATGTAAAAAAAAAAAAAAAAAGTACACTGGGACAACAAGCATGAATTGGGCTGTCCCTCCTCAGCCTGTCACACATGCAAACCAACTGCAAAAGCAATCTTGTGAATGATGAAATTTTACTGAAAGTGCTGTTGGAGAACTGATCCCACAAAACCATAGGCAAATGGAGACCTGGCAGGGTTGAAGGTAAAGACATTTATCCTTCAAGATACTCCAAAGAGGATTAAGGGAGGGCCTTGGGAAAACTGATGAGGCCCTTAACTACAAAAGCACACTGGGCGATCCATCAGAAGTGAAGGACTCCATCCATTCATGCGGGCCAGGCTCTGAGCACTGTCTGCACAACTGAAGCCACACCTCTACTTACCTTGCTTCATAGCCCTTCCATGTCCATTTATTTCTGGTCTTTCTCTTTTATTAGAAAATAAGATCCATGCGGACTGGGACCTTGCTGCTGACTACTGTGTCTCCAGTGCCTAAAGCAGTGACTGGCATGGAAGAGGTGTTTATTAAACATGTGTTGAATAAAGGAATAGGGGAATGGGAAAATGATGACCCCACCTCCACCCTCCCCCCAAACTTAGTGAGACCTGACTGAGTTTTCTTTCTCTCTTTTTTTTTTTTTTTAATTTTTAAAAGATTTTATTTATTTCTTTGACAGGCAGAGATCACAAGTAGGCAGAGAGGCGGGCGGAGAGAGAGAGGAAGGGAAGTAGGCTTCCCGCCAAGCAGAGAGCCCGACTCAGGGCTCGATCCCAGGACCCCAGGATCACGATCTGAGCCGAAGGCAGAGGCTTTAACCCCCTGAGCCACCCAGGCGCCCCTGAGTTTTCTTTCTTCTAAGAATCGGCTCATGGTTGCAACCATTAACTTAAATTTTGTTAACTGTAAAATTAAAATAAACATTTTTTGTGCTTTTGAATTTTCATTTTTCAAGACAATAAATTTCAATCAGCCCTTTCTTCTATGATTCATTATAAAACAAACATTGAAACAGACATTGAAGTGTCTGTGACTTTTCTGACACTGAAGATAATGGGGACTTCTTATAATAAGATATACTTATTGCCAATTAGAAAATGTCATTACAATTTATAAATAAAACTCACAGTGTCATTCTTCTCCCTTTCCAGACAGCAGATATCACTCCCCACACTCCAGCAAGCCTAGAATTTATGTCCCCTTACATTTCTACAACCTGCTGCTGCCTTACTTTCAGCAATAAGTTTGACTAAAGTGTGCTTGCCTGGAAATAGGGAAAGGGAGGGGAAAGATATATTGTTTTTTTTTTTTTTTCTAGTAAGGCTTTGACAGGCTACTTGACTTTATGCCATTGAATAACTTCGATGTTAAAAAAGCTGAATTTAAATAGATATGGGTTGAATTCAGTTGCTCTTATATTTAACTTGACTAGTCCCCATTTTTTTTTTCAGTGTCCTATAGCTACCCCTACAAAGTATGTGCACAATTTCACTGCACTGAGAAATAGACTCTGTAGGATACACGTGGCCATGATCATGCCTCATTTACAGTATTGAGCCCACCAGGCCCATTATATTCTATTTACTTCTAATATGAAAGAATACAATACATATATCATTACAGAATAATCTAAAAGCAGGGATGAAAAAGAGGAAGGAAAACAAAAATGAACCTTAGGAAGCTTCTGAGAAATACTTATTAACATTTTACTATTTCACTGAAATCCTTCTCAGACTTTTTTTCAGAAATGTGATCATACAGATTCATATCTTCTTCTATTTTTTAATTCAGAAAAAAATCATGAATATATTTTTATGTCAAGATACACCTATGCCACAAACAACTCGATCTAACTTTGAATATTTAATTTACTCTGGACTTTTTTTCTTCTTCTATTATAATCATTGTTACATTAAACATACCTTGAGCCATAAATAAATAAATAACTAAATAAATGAAGCGTGCTTGCCCAGAGACCCTCTGGGTGTGCTAAATAAATGTGAGAAACTCAACTCAGAAGCCCAGCCAGCCCCAGGACTGAGGATAGGATATGGTGGGGCTGCATTTCCCAAGCACTAATTCTGTGCTTCAGCCGAACAAGTGTTTCAGGTTGCTCTACTATTGCACTTGGTCCTTCCATCACCAGAGCGCCCTGCCCACCCATCTGCAGCGGGGGCACCCCCTGCCTCTTGCCGCCCAGCCCACACACTCCCTTCCTCATTCAGTTGCTGGGAATTGGCTTTCTCTTCTCTATACTCCCAGTTCCTGACCCACTTCCCTCTCAGGGCATGGAACAGTCATATTCCACCTTATATTATGGCTGAGTATGCAGAGATGTCCTGGAAAAAAAAGACTTCTATGCTCTTCTGTCTGCAAAGGTATCAATTTCTGACTTTCTAATTATTGTAGGAGAAAGAATGGAAAGGCAATTCCCTACCTCCCACAGAGGCAGATACACCTACCTCCAGAGAGCAAATAACACCATCGTATT